TGGGAGGCGGAGGTGGCGGTGGAGGAGGAGGTGGTGGGGCTGGTAGTGGTTCCGGCGGAGGGTTTGGAGCCGGAGGTGGTGCTGGAGGCGGAGTAGGCGGTGGACGAGGGATTGGACACGGCGGAGGAGTCGGCATTGGGATCGGAATAGGCATTGGGGTAGGAGCTGGCTCCGGCTCCGGTCAAGGTTCCGGCAGCGGCAGCGGCGGCGGAGGAGGCCGCCATTGAAGCTCTTACTACAAGTTTTCATAAACTATGATGTCGTCCACTGTAATTTGTGCGATAAAAAATTGTAACTTTACTATCTAAATATCCATCATCTTCTATAATTGTATTATGAAATTTTGAATTCAATCCAATAAATTATACATATTATTATCTATCAAATATGTCAAATCAATTATTATGGGCCATAAATTCTGTTGAACCAACATAATGATACAGTCAGAATAATCTCGTCTAGATACAGAAAATCATTTTCTACCTTATGGGCAAATCTTAAACCCATTGATTATTTAATTATATCCCAAAAAACGTGTGTGTGTGTGTGGTTGCGTCGGTAAAATCCAACGGATCGTAAACGGACATTGGTCGAATCGAACGGAGATAATAGAGCCACGTGTACGCTTGCGTTTCCCGCCGTGATCTCAGTTGTACAGCCGCACTCTCGTACTCGCTTCCCCATATATAATAGATGATGGGGAGAAGACAGGCCGACACTCGATAAACCCTAATTTCTCTCCGGTTTCGTGATTTTCTCGGCGGCGATGGAACTACGGTCCCGGAAAAAGCCTACTGCAGTCACCGATGAAGGTAATCTTACGATTCTTCGTGGTTTATTGCTTCAGTGTTTTGATTTTGTGGTTCATAACACGGAATGCCTCAGAAAGATCGCAGAATCTGTGATCTTGTGTACAGATTTGAGAGTTACGTATTATACGTTCTGATTTTGTTTTGGGTTTTTAAATTTCCGTAGATGCGAGGTCTGAGGAAGACATTGATTTTGACTTGAATAAAGAACCCTATGCATCATCTTCATCAGATTATGATCCGGTCAGCTCCGATTACGAAGGTAAGTTCTGGCACTTTTTATTTGGAATTTCTCGCTCGATGAAATCGTCAATTTTGTTCCAGGCTTTAATCACTTAATTTCCCAGCAATTCTTGTGTAAGAACTGACCATTCTGTTCCAAGTAGAAAATTCTCCTCGTCTTGTGTTAATTAACAGTGGCTTTGTTATAAAGATGCATATACAGGATTGCTTAAACATCTTTCCTAAGTTCATGTGAAACAGTGACATTACTGGTTTCTGTTTTGTTGTATTTGTTAGCCCATTCTTTATTTGCCAGTTTACGCATTATTCAGGTAAATTGAACTACTGAAAGACAGCGTATGAATCAATATTCCGAGGACATTAGTTATTCTGTCTTTATGTGAATATAGGTGAGGAAGATGAGTTCCATGGAGAGGAGGATTTTCCAGATCCTCCCCCTGCCCCTGCCCCTGCCCCTGCCCCTGCCCCTGTCCTTGTCCCTGTTGGAAATGGCAATGGGGGGAGGAGGAGCACAAAAAGGAAAAGAAAAAGCGAGAAAGCAGTGCTATTGTGGGAGGTCTGGGAAGAAGAGAACGAGAGATGGATTGATGAGCATTTTACCGAGGATGTTGATTTGGACCAGCAAAATGCGGTGATTGCTGAAACTGCTGAGCCATCTTCAGATTTGATTATGCCTCTACTCAGGTACCAAAAGGAATGGTTAGCTTGGGCATTGAAACAGGAAAACTCAATTGGAGGGGGCATTCTTGCAGATGAAATGGGAATGGGAAAGACCATACAAGCCATCTCTCTAGTTCTTGCCAGACGGGAGATGGACAGAACAAAATTTTGTGAGGCAATGGGGTACACACTTGTACTTTGTCCTCTGGTTGCTGTGTCACAGTGGTTAAGCGAGATTAATCAGTTTACCACCCCTGGAAGCACAAAGGTACTTGTTTATCATGGCGTAAATAGGGAGAAGAATATCAAAGAGTTTAGGAACTATGACTTTGTTTTAACAACCTATTCAACTGTTGAGAATGAATATCGGAAGTTTATGATGCCACCCAAGGTGCAGTGTGAATATTGTGGCAAGTCCTTTTATCCAAAGAAGCTTAAAATCCATCTGAGGTATTTTTGTGGACCTAATGCTGTCAAAACTGAGAAACAATCTAAGCAAAAGAGGAAGAACTTTAAAGCCTCATCGTCAAAGAAGAGTGAAGAGCCTGATAAAAATAAGGCTGATGCGAGAGTGCATGACAAGAGGAAGGGAATTAGGAAGAAGAGCAAGCAAAGTGTGGAAGCCGATCAGTTTGATCCATTGGCTAGAGACAAGTCTCCTTTGCACTCTATTAAGTGGAATCGGGTCATTTTAGACGAGGTCAGCAGACATAGAGTATTGCTGTTGGAAATGCTAGTTTAAAATACATCCTTCAGATTTCAAGTCTTGAGAAGAATGAAGCCATTTTTAAATATTTCGAGAAGCATGAAGTCACAGTACTATATCCATTTATCCCTTTTTGCATTTGATGAGAGATGCCATAGACTCGATGAAACTAAAATAACCCTTTTTGTTCACTAATCAAAATTTTTATTTTCATTCTATAAACAGGCTCATTATATAAAAGAAAGACGCAACAACACTGCAAAAGCTGTTTTTGCTTTGGAGGCTGCGCACAGATGGGCTTTGAGTGGTACTCCTCTTCAAAATCGCGTTGGAGAGCTTTACTCCCTGGTGAGGTTACTTAGTCGTGATAGTTGTTATAACCTGACAACTTTATTATCAGTGTCTCTGATGTGTCCATTTTTGTTGGCACCAGATACGCTTCCTGCAAATTCATCCCTACTCTTATTACTTTTGCAAGGACTGTGACTGCAGAGTGCTTGATCATGCGTAAAGTCTAATAACACTATATTTATGGTCATATTCTTCGTTTTCCCACGCTTTATTTTGAGGCTTATAACAAGTCCCGTGTTCTGTTTTTCCTTGTTTGCTGCATTTCACTGTGGTTGCAGTGCACTTACCAAGTGTCCCAACTGTTCCCATAGCTCTGTGAGACACTTCTGTTGGTGGAACAAAGTGAGTCCTTAGGGTTCTGCCTTTCTTTTTAAAATTTTAATGGAGTCATACCATTTATTAGTTTATTTTTTCCATTCTGATATACTTATTTAGCTCTTAAATTTTGCTAGTATGTGGCTACACCAATTACATTGTATGGAAATGGAATCGGTGGAAAAAGAGCCATGATATTGCTCAAGCACAAAGTTCTGAAGAATATTCTCTTAAGACGTACTAAAAAGGGCCGGGCCGCTGATCTCGCATTTCCTCCCAGTATTGTATGTTCCTTCATTGTTCCCCCCTTCTCGATGCGGATAAACTTGTAATAGTTGCACCAACAATTTGGCATGATCTCTGGCTTTTACTCTTGCCTTCTTGTAGATCTATTTGAGGCGAGATTCCCTGGATATAAAAGAGGCTGATTATTATGAATCACTATACAAAGACAGCCAGGCAGAATTTAACACGTATGCTGCCTTCAATCTATACATTTTCGCTTGGCTTTGACTTCTTGTCTTGATTATGAGAGGTTTCATTTGCAGATATGCTCATGCCGGGACATTAATGAATAACTATGCGCATATATTTGATCTCCTTACCCGTTTGAGACAGGTGAAGAAATATTCTTCCATTCACTATCTTGTGTGGTAAAATGATCCACCGGAAATGCTTCTCAAGCGGTATGAGCGTAGATTTGTGATGTGTCTTTCCTTCAATATATGCAGGCTGTTGATCATCCCTACCTTGTAGTGTATTCCAATTCTGCTATGAAAAATTCTAACTTGCCGGATAATACAAAAAATGATCAAGAATGTGGTCTCTGCCATGACCCAGCTGAGGATCAAGTTGTAAGTATCCCAGTTTTCTGATCTATCTATCATTGCATAATAGCTTGGTTGTAAGTTCTTGAATTTTGCTAATTATGGCTGCGTGGGCAGAGGTGACTTTGTCATGTTCTGCAGGCCGTTATTCAGGAATCACTTTTTCTATTACTCGAGCATTATCTTTTCATCTGATACTTTCTTTCTTCTCTTGAAGGTGACTTCTTGTGCACATGTGTTCTGTAAAGCTTGCTTGATTGATTTTTCTGCGTCCCTGGGAAAAGTTACGTGCCCGACATGTTCAAAATTACTTACTGTGGATTGGACTACTAAACCTGACGCTGGAGGTCAGGCAAGTAAGACAACTATTAAGGGATTCAGAGCCTCTAGCATTTTGAATCGTATAAAGCTGGATGATTTCCAGACAAGCACAAAGATAGAGGCTTTGGTATGCGTTCTTCACTGTTTACTGCCATTTGTCAGTTCTGCTAGTCGTGTTTTTTAGTGGTCCATTTTGTTGTTCAACCGTGGTGTGGGAAGAAATTTTTTCTTTTCTGAAGCAGTTCTTTTTTTCTTTTTTTTTTATCATGCCATATAGAGGGAAGAAATCAGACTCATGGTCGAGAGAGATGGGTCAGCAAAGGCGATCGTATTCAGCCAGTTCACATCATTCTTAGATCTCATAAATTACTCCCTGGGGAAGGTAGGCCATGGGGCAGTGCAGGGCACAGCTATAGTTTGTCTTTCCATTAATGTTGTCATGTCAGAAATACAGAGACATGGAAAATGGGATCTTGTAACTGAGAAATATGTATATGTATATATATATTTTTTTTTGGTGCAGTCGGGGGTGAGTTGCGTCCAACTGGTGGGAAGCATGTCGATGGCTTCGAGAGATGCGGCTATAAACAAGTTTAAAGAGGATCCGGATTGCAGGGTTTTCCTGATGAGCTTGAAAGCTGGAGGGATCGCTTTGAATCTCACAGTAGCATCTCATGTAAGTGTCTCCAACTCCGCTGCTTACTCCCCTGTCTTAAAAACTTTGAAAGAGAGATGGAAGAAGTGAGTGAGATAACCAAAGAGGGGGGAATTGGAATTTGGCGTAGGTGTTCATGATGGACCCATGGTGGAATCCAGCGGTGGAACATCAAGCGCAGGATAGGATACACAGGATTGGACAGTACAAACCTATCAGGTATTTTTTTTTTTCCATGAAATACTTTCATTTTCCTCGTCTTGAGCTTTCAACCCCCAGGATGTTTTTTTTGGGCATAATAATGTGGGTGAGAGAAATTCTTTTGTATTGTTTGTTGTGTTTTGTGGTGAAAATGAGCAGGATAGTGAGATTTGTGATAGAGAACACGGTGGAGGAAAGGATTCTGAGGCTTCAAAAGAAGAAGGAACTCGTGTTTGAAGGGTATTTCTTTTTATATATATATATATATATATATATATATATATATATAATCAATAGAGTATAACATCATATGGAAAGGATAAAAAGCGGTGTTTCATGTTATTGGGCAAACACAGGACGGTGGGAGGCTCCGATGAGGCTATAGGGAAGCTGACGGAGGAAGACATGAGGTTTCTCTTCAGCACCTGATCTTAGATGATGAGAACAATCGACACCCTCAACTTTTGCTCTTCCGGCCCTCCCTCAAAGCCTCCTTTTCTTTTTGTCTGGAACCAAGCGTTTTTGTTTTGGACATCCCCATATGTTATAAAAATATACATTTATATATGCATAGCTCTCTCTCTCTCTATATATATATAAAAATATTCCAAATCGGGTTTGTTGATGAGTCTGCAGCCTGCTTCATGGTTAATTGTGAACTCGGAATAAGTAGTAAAATGTAAATTTTGGGAAAAAGTATGTGCAACATGTAACTGTCAACATCGTTCTTTCATTTGAGGGGTCTTCTTAATGCAGGTGTTTCAAACGACCACACCATACACTGTCCCTGCGTTAGTAATGAAAGAGTACGACACATTTAGCATCTTGGTCAGTGCAAAATCTCGACAAGAAAAAGTACCTTTAGTAATATATATATATATATATAAAAGAGTAACGCAAGTGATCAGATGCTGCAACCAATCTGTTCAAAGCAACAAAGGATGGCTTTAACCAAAGTGCTGAAACCAAAACACCTTCCACGAGCAACCAAAAGATCCACAAACTCTGCAGATGGTGAGGTGTGTGTAGTGGGGCGTAAATCCAAAAAGGCAGAAGGTGGCAGCAGAAGAAGGGAGAAAACTACACCTTGGTCGCTGCTCCTACATGATGTCGGTGCCCACAGGATCCACCGAAAAATGAAGCCCTACTGCTTTCTCTATGATGGGCTCAAATTTAGACCCCCACACCTGAAAATCCATACCCATTTCCATATTCAACCACCCTCTCACTCAATTATACAGAATTGCACAAACCATAAGAAACAGACCCATCACCAAAAAAAAAAAGGGTTACTATGGCCCATAAAGTGTTGCACGGCCTTACGTTTTTATACTCCGAGCCACCGAGGAAAATCTCCCATGCCTCCACTGCAGGACATGCCATAAACAATCAATTATCAGGAGAACTCGAGAGGAAAATATCACATGTATTCATTATGAGCTTTTGGACAGGTAAACCACGGGAACGGAATCGGACTACTGCTGCATGCGTGAATTCCTTGCCTCTCCCATTCAAGTTTGAACCTGTAGACAGATATTAAGCTTATAAGCTTAACTGAACGCGTCTAGCTAATGGTCTTTTGCAAGGAAACATCCGTAACATCTCTCGTATCCCAACCCAAAAAAGGAATTGGGAATCATTGGTAAGAACTGTTATTTTATACGCACCTATCGTTGACTGGACAATTAACGACGGAGAAGATGCAGTTAGGATCCTAAAAGATTTCAAAGCATCTTTGATGTGTTCATCTGAAGCATTTTCAGCAAATGCAATCAGAAGCACAAACTCTTCTCCATAGTTGAATTCCTGCCAACGGTACGTAACTCGACTCATTTCATGGGTTCTCGGGAACGTAACAGAATTTGCAAATATAAACATGCACTGGCACTAAAGTGAACAGAATAGTTCTTACAGTTAAACAAAATAGTATTTGCATTTCGCGTTCTAGAAGTCAACGAAAAAAGCCTGTTGTATGCAGAGAGAAACGTCAGAGTACAAAGTGAATCTACCATACCTCACCCTTGCGAAATATTGGAAGGATGTCATCTTCAACCTCTGATTCATAGTCCACATTAATTAACCCCTGACACATGAAAATCGAGTGTAACAAGGACCAAAAAGCCTTCCTATAAAGTAGGAGACAAGAATCAGAACTCAGCTACGGAGGAATGGTGTTTACATGTAAAAGCATACATGACAGTATGGTGTTACATGCTCCTGGAGAACTTTGAGGAAGAAAGGATTCTCATAAAATTTTTCAAGATCTTCTTTCCTCTGGAATCTCATGTACAGAGCATGCGTGTAATCTCCCTCGTTTCTGTCACTGATGTTACCTAAGAGTAAGTTGAATATTTTATCATTCAGAGGAAATTGAATCTCTATACTGTAGATAGTATAATTTCAGAAAAGAAAAATGTCCATTGAGAAGTGGTAAAAGATAGTTTGTGTGAATAATTAAAAGCTTGAGAAAAGAAGAACCCAAATCCCCAAGAGAAACAAAGAAAATGGAGCCTCACCCAGGGATATGGCGACAATGCCTCTCATTTGATATTGGGATGTATAGAGATAATCAAGCATATCCTTCTCTTCTTCCTTGGATAAATCCTCTTTCGCTTTGAGTAAACACAAATGTTCAACTACTTTCCTGTTGCAATATAGCATCATTGGTTGAAGAAAAATGCGAAACCCTCGGCCGACCTAAATTCGAAACCTGAAGATCCTACGGGCAAAACTGAGAGACACACGCATTGTTTCCAAGACTGGAAACGCATCTTAGCCAGCCGACTAAACCTACCAGTCAACTTCAGTAGTTTCACAAGGGAGCAGATACTTCTGATGAAACCTTCTCACTTAAATTTTTTAAAAAGAAATCGCACGTTGTAGATTGTGTTCAACCGAAAAGTTGTATGAGAAACTGAAATTTGACGGATACTATGCTGTCAACACAAAAACAAAAACTAATCACTAGTCAAATAAGATTGTTCCTAAGCTCTCCATTCCATCTCCTAGAACACAAAATAGAGATTCAATTTCCTTAAGGACCTTAACTCATGGAGCAGTTCCAGATTAACACACACACGCACGAAGATACAAGAATAAAAACACACCTCTTCTTCTCCAACTTAGCGCTGGTATCCCGCCCGTCGGAGATGCAAGATACTATTCCAGGGCTTTTTGCTCGCCATCGATGCACAAACATACCTCCATTGGACCGTGAAGCTGTTAATTGAACAATGAAATCGTGATTCGGCCAGATTTCCAAGGGACATAAACAGGAAACGAAATGTAGATACGAGATTACCCAAACAATCCAGGAAACGAAAATCGGACGTTAGATTCTCGAAATTCAAACCGAATTTTCCCGAGAAACAAACAAATTCGGCAACATAACCTAAAATTTAGGCTAACTATTTCTCATCGAGCCAAAATCAGTAATTCGTGCAACACAACAATGACGTGGATTTTCCCGAGAAAACAGACGGAAAGTACGACGTTACCTATGGAGAGAAAAGGAGGATCATGGCGCGGAGAACGCGGGAAAGCGAAAGCATGGAGGATGACCATCTTTCGTGGAGATGAGGAAGACGGAATAGCAATCGCAGGGAAAGTGTCGCATGCCTCTCCATTCGTGAAGATTATTATAAAAGAAGTGACCAAAGATTTTCGGGTATTTGTGGTGGTCTGAGCTCTGTTTCTCGCCACGCGAATAAAATTCACACGCTATGAAATCCTTTGGTTATTCACCAAAAATAAAATAAAAAATAAAAAATAAATATTCTAGAAATATTTTAAATTTATTTACTCTTTTTTGGTAATAATAATGATGATGATGATGATGAATTGTGGATTAGTACAGAGGAATGGGAATCTCCAATTGCCAAACCCATTGAGGCCAATATGTCACCTTTTGCTTCATAATACACAAAAGCTTTATATAATTTGCATCTCTCTCCCATTGGATTTTGGATTAAAGAAAAATATATAACTTATTCTAGAACTATTACTATGGTTGATGGAGTGAGATTTCCAAGTGCATCAATTTAGCAAATAATATGTTGGAGTTTTGAGCCACAACAAAAAAAAATAGAAAAATTCTAAAAAAAAAACACTAAACTTTTCAATTTAAAAAAAAACTAAACTTTTGATTTTATCAAATAAATATTAAATTTTTTAAATTTATCAAAAAAATACTCAATTCTTTTACGATTGTCAAAATAAACAAATGAATTGACGTGGTATAAAAAGATGCAAACACATCAAATTGTTATCATTGATTTTTTTTTACAATTGTATATAGTTCATATATTTTTTTGAATTATTTAAAAAGTTTAATATTTTTTATAATCGTATATTATGTATTTTTTAGATCATTTAAAAAATTTAATGTAAAAACAAAAATTCGATGTTTTTTTGTTGAATGTTTTTTGGAATATTTAAAAAAAAACATTTTTTTTTCAATTAAAACAGACCATTTTAAAAAAATAAAATAATGAATGATTTATTACATCACAAACGAACGAAATACATTGTCGACTAATCCCTGACCTAATAATAATCTCTCTAACGTTTCAGGTCATTATAATCTTCATCATCGACTCACAATGTGACCCAATCTCTCCCTTACTGTAGCCCAATCCCCACACTCCAAATCCCATGTGGGCCCCTCGAAACCGGCCCACTTCAACCGTCCGATTCTCTCCTCGTGAGACGCCCACCTACTTGAACGGTCCAGATCTTCTTCCTCTTCCTCCACCGATCTCCAAAACAACTGATCCACCACACTCGTCGGCGAATTCGATGTCGGACCGGTTATCGGACCCGGTTCAGCGTCTGGTGGTTTAGCTACAAATGGATGGTTAAGAAGTTGCCTCGCGGTCCACCTCTCCTCTGGTTCTCTCTTGAGACACTTTTCCAAGAAATCCTTTGCTTGTTCCGTAAGAAATCTAGGTATCTCCGGTGACTCACCCGAATATCCGACCCGGTATATAACCGTAACCGGATCTCCATAATCCGCCGTCCACGGCGGAGATCCGGTCGACATCTCGATGACCGTACAAGCCACGGCCCAGATGTCGCTTTCCTTCCCCTGTTTCTCTCCACGTGCCGCCTCTGGGGACATGAACGCCGGAGACCCACGAATCGGCTCGGACGAGTCGACCCGTTTCGCACACCCGAAATCCGCGATCATGGCGTGGCCGTTTTTTCCGATTAGGACATTGCTTCCCTTGGCGTCGCAATGAGTGATACCTTTGGAGTGAAGATACTCCAATCCTCGGAGTATCTGGCGCGTGTACTTCACGATCAGGCTCTCGTCGAGTCCTCCGCCGCCGCCGTTGTTCTTCGCCGCCGCTTCAGCCACCGTTCCGTACGGAGCGTACTCCATGAGGAGGTTGGACGTGGTGGCGCCGCAGGGCTCTTTGGTAATTTCCCATCCCCTGTATCCGACAACGTATGGAGAGTTCAGAGATGACAGAATCTTGGCTTCTCTTTGCAAGAGATCCAACCGTGAGAGCTCGGCGGATTTCACGGCGATGATTTCGCCGGATTTGTGACAAGTGGCGGCGGGTACGGTGGCGGACGAGCCGCGGCCTATTGTTCGTCCCCTCGTCCATTCCATTTGGAGAAGACAAAGGAAACTTCAGAAGAAACAAAGCTAATTTTTTTCTTTCTTATTTTCTTGGTCTTACTTGACAGTTGACACTACTAGCAAGTTATTTATATAAGTGCTAATATTTTATTTTCCCTTTTGTCAATTAGATATTTTGTATTTCTGTAACATAAAACTATACAACTAAATAAACCTGTGAATGTGCTTGTTCATACACGTGGATCTTTAAAAGTATCTATCCGATTCCATGTGATTACCTTTTTATAATTAATATTTCATATAATCACGGAGTTGTTTTAAAATTTAAAATAATCCAAAATCTATGAGATCCTTTCTCTAATTATTTATGCATTTAATAAGTGAAAGTTAAATAGTACCCGAGGGGAATAAAAACGTGAATGAAATATCTACGTGGGTCATCAAAATAAAACAAATTTTAGAAGGCAAGGTCCAAGAGAAGAGAAGTGAGTACGTACGTATCTTACGTAAGTTCGATGAGGTGACGTGGCACTTCGTGAATTTAGGGTCTGTACTCTAGAAGGCGATGACGTGTCGTACTTTGTATGGTAAAACTCTCGGTTCGGACCGAGTTCCGTAGATGTCTCGAGCCACGTGTCAGCGGATTGAGGTTGCCACGAAGTGTTAATTACAAGTGGACAAATCTTTTTTTTTTAATAAGAATAAATTTTATAAAAAAATGTATTTGTGAGAGTTTGGTATCAGATCGTGGAGATTTGATCGATCATCTACACACTTGGAACTTTGTCGTCACATTTCGCATTGGATTTTTATTCATTAAATGGTTTTGGTACGCATTCAAAAGGACGGCAATATTTTGGATAAGTTCGCCTTATCAAATTTTTGTTTCATGTTTGCTTTATATGTTTGTTAATTAAAATACCGCGTTATCTTAGTTCAATTAGTCACATTTTATATATATAAAAAAAAGATTATACCAAGATTTTATGACTTTTTTTTAACATTTACGGATGAGTTTTACTTTATATATATATATATATATATGTGTGTGTGTGTGTGTGTGTGTGTGTGTGTAACATATGGCATGATAACTAAGGTAGAGCGTAGAGAATGTTATAAATCAAGAACGCCTACTTCAAGCAACAACCTACTCAATTGTAAAATTACATCAACTAAAAAAAGAAACCAAAAAGTGAAAAAGGGAAAGAAATTTGTACAAGTTCTCTAATATTATTTTAAAAAGGATATAGAAAAGAAGCATTGTATTTTTGTTTAGTTTCGATTAATTTGATTGCATTATATTTTTTTCCCAAATAGAAATTTCGGTTTATTATCATTGATAGAAACCTATTTTCTTTGATATTATTCTACCAATCGACAAGGAACAATGGAAGTACATTTTTTAATTTACCATATTTTTTCGCTAATCAAATAATGATAGAAATTATAATGCTAATTTCATTTACATCACACTCACAAAAACTCAAACAATAATTTTCAATCATTAAACATTATCCCTTTTTTTCTGTTGTAATAATAAAGAATGATAATCGTAATAAAAATTAAAAAAGGAAGTGTCGGTTTGGATAAGTTGAAAAAAGGAACCAAAGCAAAAGACCAAACTAAAAGTGTCAAGAAGTTACAACTAATATTCTCACAAATAGACTTATATCACACTAATTTATAAGATAAGAGTTCATAATTATGAAACAAATAATAATAATAATAATAATTGTTTAAATTGAGGATAAGAATTATAATATGATTATATGGATAATGTTATATATATATACACTTCAAAAATACGGTTTACTATAATTTTATTAGAATTGAAAATGAAATATACGCAAAAACTAATGTGAGAATTGTTTTTTTTATTATTATTATTTTTAAAACTTCTCTCCCGTTAGTTTAGACAAATGATTTTATGCGTGGCTTATAAGTTACAAAGCACAGAATCAAAGTGTCTTCTTCCACAAGCAATTCACGGGTGACATGGCATGCTTGCTTATACTTATATTATTCACCAATATATATATATATATATAGAAACCCGACAAGAAGATACCATATAGACATAAATCGTGAGAAATTACACAAATGATGTATATCTTTGCAATCTGTACATTCCACTTTTGTTTTATTTTTATGTGATCGTTTTCACATATCGATCTTGCATGAAACACGTGCACAATCATGCGGGATTGTTTAGTAATATTTCAAAAATAATTTTGAAAAAACAACACAATGAGAGATATTATACAAAAATAAAGTAGAAAAAGGAAGCAAGAAATCGGGCATGCCATCGTTTTTGCAAGCTTGTAAAGAAACATGAATGAGGGGTTAACCTTTTTTTTTTAATTGAGAAAACAGTTGAAATATTTAGGTCCATTATTGAACAAGGCTTAGAGACAGACAGGTCATCAAGAGAAACCCCTTTTATTATTTTTGTAATTAAGATTAATATTTATAATTAGCTCCTATATGACATTTTCTGCCTGCAAAAAAAAATGAATGATGTTTTGAATATTTGAAATATGGTAATTTTTTAGTTATTGCGTGCTGTAGCTTTTCTTATACTTATTTTCTCGAAACCATTCAAATACTAATTTATATTCATAATTCAGTAAAAAAAATCCTATAACTATTTTTTAGGTGAATTAACATTTCCCCCACCAATCACAAATATGTTTATAAATAAATACATTTGTTAAAAATAACAAATATGATAATCAAAGAAAGCAGATGCTCTTCGCCCCCACTCCATCAGACAAACAAAATCTTTTTAACAGATTAGTCCGTGAAAAAAGTGATGAAGCTGCTTACTTATTGGAACTCGTAAATATTTTAAAAATTAAAATTATGTAAAGATTATATTTTAAGGGTACGATGACACTGATGATTGAAATTGAGTTAAATACTCCATTGTGATCGATTATCCATTTTTTAAGCAAAAACACAATATTACTCGGAATTGGAAATTTATGACGTTGTCTGACGTCACACGACAGAATTAGCTTCAGTGCAATATATTATTCGTCAGTTAAGAGAGACAAGGTCAACACTACAAAAGAGTATTTAGACAAAACACTGAGCTATAAGAAGTTTCAGAACTTGCAAGACACTCTGAGATAGTGTGTCTAAAGAGAAGATTTTAAGACAAGTAACGTTTCATCCATGAGTTGAAGCGAGACCAGGCCAGTTCCACTGCGGCCTCGTCTTCGTCCGAAAGTCCCATGCTTCTCCTCCTCTCCACGCCCTCGGGGCTCCTGTTCAAGAAGGCGTGCCCGTTTCCCGGGTAGATGTGAACCTCGTACCCCACTCCCGACGCCTTCAGCTTCTCTTCCAACGCCTTCGCTGCCTGCAAAACCCACATTACATTGATTCCATCCGAGGCGAATCAGGAAACCCGTATATATATCAGAGAAATATCGGGGAGAGGTTGCAAGTAATGATGATCGGCAGTATTTCGGGATGGTGATGGCATACCGTGACATCAGAGAAACCGACGAAATTGTCAAGCTCCCCGAAATGGGCTTGAACAGGTGCCTTGGCTTGTGCTGCATCCGCGAGCTCCGAGGAAGGAGTTCCATAGAAGCTCACAACAGCATCAACCTCTGGAACCAAAACAGAGCTAGCAATAGCCAGTGCACCTCCCATGCACATTCCAGTCACACCAACCTGCCACCAAAATTTCAAAATTTTCCTTTTTTCGGTCTTTACAAAATCTTTGCACCTGTCCAACAACGAACTTCTTTTCAAAAGATAACTGCATATCATGAAATTTCTTGTTTTGTCCAAAACCCTTTTGTTCAAGAACAGGATCATAGAAAAAAAGAAAAACAAAGGTAGTTTACATGTTCAAGAACAAAGGGTTCAGTACCTTCTTCGAACCATTGGCCTTCAGCCAATTGACAGAAGCACGTATGTCTTTGACAGCACCTTGCCAGTCCAGGCCATCCATGAGATGCTGTGCCTCTGCAGCGTCGAGGCCAACCTTTCCTCGGTACAAGCTTCAAAAAATAACGCCAAGAAGAAGATCCTCAGCAAAAGATGAGAAAATGAGTCGTAACACAACCAGGCAATTGAGTAAAATTTTGCCTAGCAGAAAGTACAACTTACTCAGGTATAAGGGCCTTGAAACCCGGCTCTAGTTGTGAGATTTTAACAGCATGGTTCTTGATCTCAAAGTCAACACCCCACCATTCTTGAACTACGACAATCCCAGGAGCTTCATCTTTACCGACCACATAGGCATCGAATGTCTGACCGACAAAACACAGAGTAAATCAAAGCATACTGAACAGATGAAAGTTTTGTAAAAGGCGACGAAGCTATTGAAAAAGACAATACAGCATATACGTTTCCAAGAGCTTGCAATTGAAAAGGAAATGCACTTTGAAAATCCACAAACTTAAACTTAAACGTAGGCTTTTGCCAAATTCAAGACAAGACAAGCTGTCTCCTTGCCATCTATTCCGTACAGGGAATCATGCCGGCTAATTCTTTTATGAAACATGAAACTGTAACCATGATGACTATCCCAAAACTCTGCCTGTCTCGCTGATAGGCTGGAAATCAGTCACCAAAAAGACCGGCAAATTTTCGCTGTCTATACACATTACGTTTCAGATATGGCAAAGCGACATCTAAGCTTCTCACTCTCACTCCCCGCTTCTATACCATAAAACGACACAGAACTACATATTCGACCATACATTAAGAATCAAAGCTTCCGACATCAGCAAAGCACAATCCTCTACGAGGAAACGTAATTAGGGTTCTAAGCCCGAGACTGAAAAAAACGATCAAGGGTAAATTCAATCATACAAAACCATAACCAATCCAGGACATACGACACATTATATGCGAAACCCTACGCCGACAAAACCAATCATTGTCCTCACTCCACCACGACCGAATCCGACCAAAATCCTTTAATCTCATTCAAGATCAGACACTCCGAAGCATATCGAAGATTCGGATACACTAAACCGCAATGGGAGAGAAAAAAAAAAAGGCTTACGGTGCCATCTCTTTGGATCTGAATCTTCTTGAAGGCAGAATCAGCCATTGCTCGTATGGAGAAACGGGAAAAACAAGGGAGAGAAGTTGTGGAGAGAGATGTTCTTCCAAAGGAGGAGGAGAAGAACCTGGAATATGGAGATGAAGGCAGGAGAGATGCCAACATTTCTTTCTTAGCCACGCTTCTCAGGACTCCGATTGTTTTTAAGATGATAAACAAGTTGGGCCTACAGATCGGCCCATGAAATTTGATCATTTCTCAATATTAGGCTGTAGGCCCATTTATTAAGCGAAAGCAATGGGCCCAGTCAAGAGAAAATGAAATATGGATTAGCAATTCATTAATACTGATCTTATTAGTACTAATCAATGACAAGTGCTCAAAAGTATGATTTTTTTTAGTAAAATATATACTCATACTCAAAAAAGTCAAATTATATATATATATATTTTTATTTATTTAGTACGAGGTCTTTGAACCTGATGTATCTCGTCTTTACCACGTTTTTTTTTTTTGGTAAAAGTGTTAATACGATTTTTTTCTTATTTACTAAGCGAGCCTAGAAAAATATAACATTTGAGGCAAATTTCTTTTTCTTTTGAATAAATTTAATTTTATAGGGCATTTCATAGTTTTATTGAGATTTTACATAATTTCTATATAAAATAGACTTTTTTTTATTGATTGAATGCGTCATGTGCCCCATATAGTTGTTATGTAGGTCCGCCATAATTGTAGTTTTTCCAATATCTCCGGTCCATCAATAACCTTAAAATTGATTGAAAAAAAAATTGAAACAAAAATAATAAACTACCACAGTTTTGCAAACGCTGACCATTCAGCTCCCTATAATAATTTCCCAAAATTCTAAATTTCGTTTATTGATACAAACCAAAATCTTGACTTTACAAAACTTGTATTTTTTTTTTTGGCTCGGGACCCCAAAAAAAAAAATCCGGTGCGTTTATTTTCTTGAGCGTACAATAAAAAGAGTTCTAAATCTTCACAATGGTTGCAACGGTTCAAGTAGTGATGTCAAAGGAGCCAGCTCGGCCCAGCTCGGACCAGCTCATCACGAGCCAGCTCGTTTTCAGCCCAGCTCGTTAAGCCCGTTTATATTCGGGCCAAGAAAATTCTGGCTCGGCCCAAGTCGCTCTAACTCGCGAGCTAGCTCGCGAGCCAGAACCAAATTTATCTATATCCCTTCAAAAACATCTGAAATTATATACTACTATATCCAAAAGATACACCAACATAAAAAGAACATATCCTAAACCATAATGTATGTCTGAAATCATAAAATCATGTCCAAATCATAATCCATATCCAAAATCATAATCTATCCATGTCCAAAAATATAAAACCTTGTCTAAATCAGAATACCAATTACCAACCAACATAACAATTTCAAGTTTCAACATATGACAAAAGAACATTCACCAACCAAGTCACCAACCATCCAACAACAATATATCGTGCATTCAATTCAGATTTGTTGCATCATCACTTCCACCTCCATTGTCGCCTTGATTTCCACTTGCATTGTTGACAACTTCAACACCAAAAAGATATGTTAGTAACTTACATAATTATATTGAATAAATCAAAACAGAAGAATAAATATAAATGTTTACCCGTTAATTCTGAAAAACCTTTATACCAAGACCTAGCACATATTAACGATTGCACACTTGAAGGGAGAAGTTGGTTCCTATACTTGTTCAAGATACGGGAACCGATACTAAATGATGATTCTGAAGCCACCGTGGTAATGGGAATGCTTAAAATATCAGCGGCCATAAGAGCAACATCGGGCATCCGATGTCTATTATCTCTCCAATATCCCAAAACATCCAAATCATGAAAATCCACCACTCTCAATCTTTCTTCATCCAAATAAATGTCCAAATAGGATCTTTCCCTTTCTCCTTCAATATCGGGATCATCCAAATCAAAGTAATCCTATAAATTTAAAAAGAACTGTTAGAAAAAGTTCAAATTAAAAACTATTATAAAAATACATATGTAAGATACTTACATCAAGTATATCAATCATAGAAACAGAGCGTGATGAACTTGCATTTGGAGTAGTGACATTACGAGATGAACTTGCGTTTGTTGTTGTAGTAAGTTTGTCACTTACAATAGTTTGATATTCTTTGTACAACATGTACAACTTTGTCTTGAGAAATTCTAACTTCTCATTTGCACTCTCTCCGTCAAGCTCATTCCAACAACGCCTCAAGAATTGTAACTTGAATCTCGGATCAACTATGGCACCCATAGCAAGTATAACGCTGTAATGCTCCCAATATTTGTTGAACTTGTCTAGCATTCTCAAACTCATCATTCTAATATGATCATCGCTACTAGCCACATTCTTCTTCAGCAACTTTTCAATCTTAAAAATCTGTCCAAAATAAAGATTTGAGGTACAATAAGTTGAACCAGACATCAAGACCGTGATCTTGTAAAAAGGCTGTAGTAGCTCACATATTCTTTCCGCTCTACCCCATTCTTCACTCGAAGGACAATGCTTATAACCTTTATCAATCACTTTCAATCTAGCAAAGGCTCGTTGATACTTTAATGCCTTCTCAAGCATAATAAACGCAGAGTTCCATCTAGTAGGTACATCCGTAGTCAAGACAGCACTACCACCACCTTCTATGCAACTCTCAAAAACATCCATCCTTCCTTTTGAAGCTTTCACATACCTTACACTATCTCTAATTTTAGATACAGCATCACCAAGTGTCTTTAAACCATCTTGCACAATGAGATTAAGTATATGTGCACAGCATCTTATGTGGAAGAATTCACCATCACACAATAAATTGTTATCTAAGCAAAGCCTCTCTTTCAAAATCTCTTGGCAACAATCATTTGCCGAAGCATTATCTAACGTAATGGTGAAAATCTTCTTCTCTATCCCCCATTCCTTCAGTAAATCATGAATCTTAGTAGCTAACGCTTCACCGGTATGTGGATGAGGCAAATCTATGAAAGACAAAATCTTGCTGGTCAACTTCCAATCTTCATCAACATAATGAGCCGTCAAACATATATATCCTACAGTATCGATGCCCGTCCAACAATCCGAGGTCAAAGATATCCTACTTGGAATCTTTTCCAAATCAGATTTCATTCTTTCTTTGCCATCTAAATACAATTGTTCAACCCGAGTAGCCATAGTATTTCTACCACAAAACTTAAAATCGGGAACCATATAGTTGATCCAATCTCTTAAACCATCATACTCCACAAAAGTAAAAGGAAGGTCATGAGTTACGATGAACTTTGTTAACTTTTCCTCGGCTATTTTCTGATTCCACTTCTTCGTTATTCTAACATTTCCCTCGGCATCCCTAATCACAGACCTCAAATCCAAACACAACGGCTTCTTACGACATAAATGCTCTACATGTCTTTTCATAGTAGAAGTTCCATGTGCATCATGCCTCTGGGTATATGTTTGTTTGCAATGATCACATTGAACCTGTGTTTCACTAATCCTTGTAAAATGATTCCACACTTCAGATGTTAATTTTCTTCGCCTCTTTCTAGAACTTACAGTTGCTTGACTATCCCCAATTACCGTATTCTGAGTCTCTTCTTGTTGTGTTGTATCCATCTCTTTACTTCCATCCAAATCTTCCCTTGAATCCATCTGCAATAATAAATCCATACGTTACAGATTATATGCATACATTATATGAACATACACATACAGATTGTAAATATTGTACACAGATTATAAACATACAATATATCAACATACACACTCAAGATAGACGCAATCGATGAATCATGAAAAGAAGCAGAAACATTCAAGACAGAACAACAAACAAACATGAATTATGAACTAACAGAAACATTCGAGAGACAATCAAAATCGATGGTGAAAGAGAGAGTATGAGTCGGACCTGAGCGAGTCGAAATCGCTGGCGAAAGAGACTGGCAGAGCTCGATGGGTCGAGAGAGGCGAGAGCTCGACAGTTCGGGAGTGAGCGAGACCGAGAGGGGGGAGCGAGAGACAGATCTCGACAGTCCGAGAGTCCGAGAGTGAGCGAGACCGAGAGAGAGAGGCAGGATCGAGACCGAGACTGGTGACAGCGATCTCGGCGAGCAGCAACCGGCGAGAATCCGAGATTGAGAGTGAGAGAGAAGCAAGAAAAAAAAAAGTCTGCGAAACTGAGAGAGAGAGGAGGGAGGAAGCGGGCAAACATAACAAAAGAGGTTAAAATCTAAAACCCTAATTTTTTTTTTTTGAGATCACGAGCTAGCTCGTGAGCTGACCGAGCCAGCTCGTCTAGGCTCGGCTCTCCACGCGGCCTGATATAATATAAATGAATCGTGGAACGAGCCACGTTGGGGGACCATTTTGATGTGATTTAGATTCCCTTTCCTTTGAATGTTCAAAGAAGAAAGCGTTCTTCAGTCCTAGCAGACAAGTTCCAACTGTTGGAATCCTTTCCGCCGTGTGGATACGTATAGAGGGTAAGGTATTCTTCCTGTCTACAGTGATCAGACGAACACATCAATTGATACAGGCCCCGGATCGATTGAGGTAAGCGTTCTAACGTTTCTACAAGATCATGCATGATAGGTTTTAGGGTTTCATCAAAATTTTTGTTTTACATCCGCTGCGCAAACCCTAGAGGTTCAAGATGACGCCTTTCCATTCTTGTAACGTATCAATTAAAACAACTGCTAAAAATGGAAAGATGATTACGACAACCCAACCAACCAAAAGTTTTACAGAAAATCGATTATCTGTGGAAGCCGCATGCTTGGACGTATAATCAAATCCTTTGATACAAAAAATAAAATAAAATAAAATAGACCATTAACGAGATATTTTTCTACGAATCAGCGAGGAGAAAGCACACTTCGTTACGCAATTGATCTGTGGAATTTAATTACGAGTACGATGTCAATAATTAGACAGTTGATTGATTCCTGTGCTTTCATATACATATATATATATATATATATATATATATATAATATAAAAAAAAACAAGGAAATATATAACTAAAGCTTAAATTATATGAATAAAACCGGTTTCGGTAGGAACCACAATGGAATTGAAAATCACTCGGATATTTCTGCATGTAATTTATGTATTAATAACTTTGCATCTTTTTTTTCACTTTGAGAAACAATAAAATTACGCAGAATAATCAAATATTTCTTAAAAAAAATACTATATCAATGTACGCAACTCAATTATTCATTTCAATGTAACGGCGTTTCGACGTCAGTCACCTCACAAGATAAACTGACGCACGACAAAATTTTATCGTTTCCTAATCGATACCGGCCACAAAAATCACAAAAATACAAAGAAGAAATTAAGGCATACCGACAACATATACATATATATATATATATGGGAGGACCCACCTTATTAGGTATGGGGCATAGGCCCAATTGTTTTTGTTAAAAAAAATAATTTCATTATAAATTCTATAAATTTTAAACAAAATCTGTCGAATGCCCCAATAAAAAATTAAAATTTGTCTCTGTCTCTTATATTATATAAAAATTTATGCTGTCCCACTGATAATTTTCCTTAGGTCCGCGGCCCCTGTATATATTATATATATAATAAACAAATGTATATATGCATTTACATGGTAATGCATGCATGCATGCATGTGTCTATATATTTATACCCTATACAACCATTTTCCACAACCACAGATGTACTAAGTGTCAGACCAACCAACCCAAAGCAAAAAGCTCACGCGAGCTCCTCCATTAATGGCGGATTCAATCTCTTCTCTCCCTCTCTATGAGAAAGTTTCTCACAAGAGCTTTATACTCAGAACGGTCGATCTCACGATTCTTGGCCTTCTCTTTTCTCTTCTTGTCTATCGAATTATATACATAAATCAATACGACAACGTTTGGATCGTGGCGTTCCTGTGTGAATCTTGTTTCTGCTTCGTATGGTTACTTGTTACGATTATAAAATGGAGCCCTGCGGATTATAAGACGTACCCTGACCGACTCCATGAAAGGTATACATGCATGTGTTAAAAATACGTACTCAGTATCCATAGATGCATATATTCTTATTGTTAATTTGGATATATGTCGGACATATATGTATGTATGTATCCGAAATATATAACCCGTCTCTTTGTGTAATTCCGCGACATACTCATAGACACGTACCATGCTATATATGTATTAACCATGTATTGTTTTGGATTGAACTACGAGAGAAACGTTTACGTATTGAGATTAATCAAGATTTTTAATCATGGGTCGGTTTTGTTTTTTTCTTCGGACAGGGTTCGTGAACTTCCTCCGGTGGATATGTTCGTGACGACGGCGGATCCGGTGATGGAGCCGCCGATAATCACAGTGAACACGGTGCTTTCGTTGTTGGCCGTGAATTATCCGGCGAACAAACTGGCCTGTTATGTCTCCGACGACGGTTGCTCTCCCATCATCTATTTCTCCCTCAGGGAAGCCTCGAGGTTCGCCAAGATCTGGGTCCCGTTTTGCAAGAAACACAACGTTCAGATCAGGGCTCCTTTCAGATACTTCTCGAACCCGCCCATTCATCCAGAGGGTTCAGACTCGGGTCAATTTGAGGAAGACTGGAAAAATATGAAGGTATATATATATATATATATTACTGTATACAGGGTGTTCCAAAAGTCAATCTCAGTGGTCGCGTAGGTGAAACTTTAGTTCAAAATGTTTTTTCTTATAATGCATATAGTTTACCTATATATAAGCTTATCAGCATGTAAAAGCCTAGGGAATGTTTTGCACATTTTTAGGACATTGAATCAAAAACAGAACACGCGATAGTTGCATTTCGTTTACTTTTCATCATGCGTGTCCAAATCATATATATATATACACACACACACTAGCGGACCCATGAAAAATTATAATTGGGGGTAGATTGACAAATTTTATTTTAATATGGGGTCATTAATCTTTTTTATTTAAAATTTTATAAATTTTATAAAAAATTAAAACTTTTTAATCAAATGAATGGGGCCAGTGACCCGTTCAAATCAATGTAGGTCCGTCCATATATATATATATATATTGGTCATATCAACTTTATAATTTGATACCTAAATGATACAAATTAACGATTCGTGCGTGGAGCCTAGTTGGTAGTACGTACTAAGCTATATGGTCAAGCAGGACAGTCTCTTCAACCGAGGGAAAGCTACCAAGTCACAAAGAGTAAACACACGATATAAACTTGCTGTATGTGTGTGTAATATATATACGGGTGATCCAACAGTTGATGGTCCAATGGATGAGAAGTGACAAAGTCATCCTCAAAGTTCTGGGTTCGATTCCACTGGTGGGGAGGGATGTAATTTCTGAACTAAAATGGTCTATATACAAAGGCTGGTCCCGGGCATAGGGTGGATGTAATCGGGTCGAAGACCCGATGAACCATCCTGATTATAAAATATATATATAAGTAGAATTATACATGAATTCAGTAACACTTTTTCGTTTCATCCTATTTATTTTTTAAATAAAAGGTCGAGTACGAGAAGCTAAGCAGAAAACTAGAAGTAGTGGCCGAGAATTCATATTGGCTGGACGCAGATGAGGATTTTGCTGCTTTTGCCAACATAAACCCTCGAGACCATGCAACAATAATCAAGGTGTATATATATATATATATATATATTCCCAAATTATAACTTTAATGAATTAATGGTGACAATAAAATATGATTTTGGAATAAAATTTGATGAGTGGATGTGAAGGTGATAAGGGAGAACAACGGAGGTGTAGGAGAAGACACGGAGGTGCCACATTTGGTGTACGTTTCAAGAGAGAAAAGTCCAATGCACCCTCATCACTACAAAGCCGGTGCCATGAATGTTTTGGTCCACATCTATAATCCCCCTGTCCTTTTTTTTATAAAAAAAATATCTCATCTTTATATATATGTGTGTATATATATATATGAGGACGTAAGGCTAATTTCCGAATCTAGAAAAAGAATGCATAAATGATACTGTAGTGAATATAGAAAAAATCCAAAATAATTATTGGGTTGGGGTCCAAACATGTTCAGCTTGACTTTAATGTCATGGCCTACGTGATTGGAACTTATCGAAGTTCACATGCATAGATATGAAATATACGTACTTATGTGTAAGATAGCGGACTATTATACATGATATGACAAATACCTTCCTTTTTTTTTGGGGAATTTAAATATGTTGTTAATTATAATATTATGAAAAATGGTTGGTGAATACAGGTACGAGTATCTGGCTTGATGACAAACGCACCGTACATGCTGAACGTAGACTGCGATATGTACGTCAACAATCCCGACGTTCTACGGCAAGGAATGTGTTTGTTTCTTGGGTCCAAAACGCAAAACGAATACGCATTTGTTCAATCTCCCCAGTTATTCTACGATACTTTCGGAGACGAAATCGTCGTTTTACAAACTGTAAGTTCACTTGCAATATACGTCCATATGCATACATATATATGTGTGTGTGTATACATCATTTTCATTTCCACGTCACGTCATTGTTAGAAGTACAAATGATATTTGAATTATTAGTTTTTGAATGCGGAAAACAGTATATTGGACGTGGAATGGTCGGAATCGACGGACCCATTTACGCCGGGTCCGGGGGTATTCACCGCCGAAGAATTATTTACGGTTTATCTCCTCATCATTTAGACGATGATGGAAATCTTTCTTCCATTGCTAAAGGTATATATATATATATATATATAACTATCAAGATCCAGCACCTATTATTTCTTTATTCCATATTCAAAAGCTTACCCATATATATATATATATATGTATGTACGTATATTACAGTGGAATTGTTAGGAGAGGGTAAATTAGAAAGAGAATACGGGGATTGCAAGGAGATGGTGAAGTCAGCAGTTGAAGCGTTGAGAGGAAAGTCAACTCCCCAGAATGACCTTACGATATCCCTTGAAGCGGCTCATCGGGTTGGAGCGTGTGACTACGAATACACCACCAACTGGGGCAAAACGGTAATTTGGCATCTTTTATCATTCCAATCTCGTCTCCCGTCCTCTTTGGGATCAAATCCAAAGTCATCTCTCTCGTTTTAAACATCTAAATCAATATATAATTTCACGTTTTTCTCTAATATCCAGTGACTATATATATATATAGATTGGTTGGTTATATGGTTCGACGACCGAAGATGCGAACACAAGCGTTAGCATACATTCAAAAGGGTGGAAGAGTTTGTACAATTCGCCTGACCCGCCGGCGTTCCTGGGATGCATGCCGGCGGGGGGACCGGCCGTCATGGGCCAACAGCGGCGGTGGGCCACCGGCCTTCTCGAAGTTCTTTTCAACAAACAAAGTCCGGTTATCGGAATGTTGTACCGGAAATTGGGGTTCCGAACCGGTTTATGCTACCTATACTTATTCATCTGGGGTATAAGATCGATCCCCGAGCTTTGTTATTCTCTCTTGCCTGCTTATTGCATTCTCCACAACTCTGCCTTCTTGCCCAAGGTAGGGTTTTTTTTCCCGATCAATATATAGGAATGGAAAAAAAAGAATAAGAAAAACGATATTACTGATTAATTAGGGTTTTTGTTTTTTTGCAGGGGCCATGCTTAAGCATAGTCGTTGCACTTGTGGTGATGCATTCCCTCTACAATCTCTGGGAATACATAAATCTTGGTTTACCCATTCAAAGTTGGCTCGTCACTCTATTATTCGCGAGAATAAAGACGACATGCGCGTGGCTATTCAGCATTCCAGACATTATACTTAAATCTCTTGGAATATCGAACACCATCTTCATTCTCACGAAGAAGACTGCGCCTTCATCTTCTCGACACAGGGACGAAGTCCCCGGGAAATTTGTCTTCGATGATTCTGTCTACTTTTTACCAGGGACAGTGATTTTGTTGGTGAATCTTGCGGCCCTCCTCGGATTCTTGGTCGGAATGAGACCTCCGCCGGCGGATAACGGCGGTGGCTACGGTGTCGGAGAGGTGTTGGCGTGCGTGTCGGTGGTTATGTCGTTTTGGATCTTCTTGAAGGGTTTGTTCGAGAAAGGGAAATATGGGATTCCTGTTGCCACCATTTCGAAAGCTGCCTTCTTGGCTTTCTCCTTTGTTATCTTCTCCCTTAGGATTTATTCTCCCTCCTCCATGTAATCTTATCACCAGTTTTCAATTGAAATAACATTTATCCACTCTTATTTGACACTTTGGATTTTATATCTGGAGATTGAGTTTGATCATAGTTTAATTAATTTGATTTTAAAAAAAAATCAGTTTTAATCAATTTTAAACAATTATAATTTGATTTGTCTATATTTGAATATGTAATGATGATCATCGCATTAATTCTGATTTTTTTTCGTATTATTTTTTGTAATTATTAAACACCTTCGGTTTACTTGTCATCTACAACTCTTCTCGCAGTGCAAAATGACCGTATCAGCCTTGGTTACCAAGTTTGGGGCTAGCTAGATTGCTAAATTATTATTACTATTATTATTATTATTATTATTATTATTATTATTATTATTTTAAAAAAGGAAAATTATGAAATTCTAAAGACCCAGTTTCGTTTTTTTTTCATTACATTTTACGTAAAATAAATGAGAACACCATAAGAGTTCGTTATCTTATAATAATTAACAAATGCATCATAGTCAAATAAAAATGAGCAAGAGTAATAGATCTGGTTTCTGTATATAAATTTATAATGTCACCGTGGATATACATAGAAATAAAATTTAAAATCTTATTAAAATAAATTAAAATTACGCAGAGGGTATTTTCGTCCACACAGCTAACAGATTCCATTTTTCACTAATTCAAGCCATGCGCGCTCCTTCACCGGCCTCGACAATATACTCTGCTTCTTCCTCTCTTCGCCTGCACAACACTCTCAAATTTAGCCCAAAAAAAAACCACTAGAGGAATTTTTTCCGGTCACTGTGTTTCCACCGGAAAATGGCGAATCTGCCGGATTCTCTGTACGAGGACTACAATCTCATGGCGACGTTGTCTTCCGCCGCCGGAGCTTCCACCAGCCGAGCTCCGCCCTCCGTCGTCACCATCTGCCGCTGGATCAATGACCTTCAGTTTCCGCCGATCCGAGAATTCGCTCTCCAAAATCTCTCAGACGTATGTCCCAATTCCCCACCCCACCCCCCTTTTTTCCTTTTATTTTTTAAAATTTTTTATCCTAGCGTCTCTGTGAATTTTTTTTGCTCCTTTTTCGGGGTTATTCGGAGTCATTTTGGTTGATTTCATATCCATGGCTTGATTGGTTCCCGAGAAAGTGATATCTGCTAGGATTTGGAGAAATCTAGAGTTGATTTGTTTCTTGCTGCGTAGGTAAGGAAATTTTTAGCCTCTGCTTTAGATGTTTTACCGTGATCGCAAGAATTTAGGTCTCGATTAGTTCGTTTTGTGGTCATAATGTAACAATTCTTGGAGTGTTCGTGTTTGCTATTTCGTATGCGATTCGAAGGTGTGTTTGCTTGAACAGAAAACTCCTTGTTGTTGTGGCTCTTCTTGGTCGACCTTACATAGGATCGTTCCTCATTGTCGTGATCATCGTTTTAAATTGTCATTTTCTTGCATCCTAGGAGAGATGTTGATCTGTTTTTGTTGTGCTTTTCTCTCCTTTGTCTTCCTTTGACAATTACCAGATGGTTATCGCTGTATTATCATTAGAGCCGGAGACATTCAATTAGCGGTTTTTGGACCATCTCTGCAACTATATAGCATCTTTACTGTTTGTTTTCTGCTCTGCACTCCTCAGTGTTTATGTCATAATCTCTTTTCCTCTGATTAGTTTACGCGATATTTTCCTTTTTTTACATGACTAGTAATATGAGATATTCTTATATCAAGATAGATAGCAATCTACGGTCGATAATTGTCCTTATCATGTTATAGTTTTCTTTTGCTAATTTGGTATGATCAATTAATATGTATTCTAACAGAAATTAATATTTTGAGATATTTCTGACAAATGCTTTGAACAATTAACTTTTAAATCACTGAATAGAAGGAAGTTTCGCAATTTTCTTCCATATCCGCGGTCTCATTCCAGAGTGTAGCTAGCATATATGTCCTTCCTCACTTTATAAGGTGTATATCCACGATCTCGAGATTCTTCGCCGCTAACACGAGTATCGTATCTGGCTCTCTATGACCCGCTTTTATTACTTGAAACATAATATCTATCTATCTGTCTATCTCTCGATCTTTTTTTTAGTTTGTCCCACAATAATGTGGAGATGCACAATTTACGTTTTCGCAATATCTTACGAAGAAAAAATATATGGAAAGCCTAAAAACCATGAAACAATCTTTGGAAAAGTTTTCGTCTGTTTCAATGTTATCTCTTTTCGTATGGGTATAGAAAATATATTGAGAGTAATGTAAAGGATAACTCAGAAAGATCTGGAATGGCTAACTCAACTGGTAAGTGGATATGGGCAAAGAGTGCTCTACCCAAAGTTCAACCCCACCCTAGTCAAATCACATATTAATAAAAAAAAAGGATAACTCAGAAGAGGTCTTGTCTCCGCCATTTCTCGATTCTGAGATAAAAATCCCGTAGTACCCCTGAAAATTTACTAGATGTCTGATGAATCATTTGCTTAGAGTTTACCGTACTTGCCTAGCATTTCTTCTTGATGTCAAATTTAATTTCTGGACTGATTTCATGTGGCTCCGAAACAGGTTACAGAAATTGAATTTGTATGAGAGTGATATTTTCATGTCGAAACATCTTAGGTTCAGGCTTCAGAGGATCATTGGTATAGCATCGGCCTTTTCCATGTCGAGGTAACAAAGGGGAAGGGAATGTGATATGAACGGATAAAACATTGAAATAGATGTGCAACAAGTTGTAAACATGCCAATTTAAAGGCCTCCGCCCTCCTCTATTTCTGGCATATGCAAATTGCGGACATAGTTCTTCACTTCTTCTACGGGATAGAAAACCTCGTTGAACTGTATGAGAGTGCTGTCACAACTGAGGTCCTCATCATGCGAGATTCCTAAAACTTCGTCCTATGGACCTGTATGTATAGCATCTCAATAAGTAACAAACCTAGTCATGCTCTTTACACTTACTGATATCAATTTTAATGCCCTTGGGTCTTTGTTTGTTCATGTTTGTCCGTCCTGCATTAAGATTTCTCGCCCCTAACTCCTGCCTCATTTGCGTTGTTGACTAAAACTTGTTTTTCAATTTTTCTTTATTCTAATGTTACATTTCTTCTCAATCAATGCTTTCTTCTTTCTCAGAATAGGAACAGTTTTGAGGACTTGGCGCTGCTGTTATGGAGTTCTACTGCTTCAGTTGCCACACTATTACAGGTAAATAGAACTCTTCTGCTTCATTAGTTGATGGGGATAAACTTAATTCCAATGAGTCTTCTCTCTTTTTTGCTCATCTTCTTGTTGGCACTTAGGCTTGTAGACCACTCACATTCACCTCATACTTGGTCCTAGCCTATATTATTTTCTTCTCGCTGTAGAATATCTGTTTGTTTGTTATACTTGGTAGGGTTAATGTATTAGCTGTAACTACTGGATTCTTTTGCTTCCATTGACTATTTATATCTCTTCAGGAGGTCATTGGAGTGTACCCAGAGCTTTCATTGCCAATTTTGACTCTTAGGAAGTCAACTCGAGTGTACAATGCTCTGCTTCTGTTCCAGGTTATTTAGTCTCGAGTGACTCTTCCCTTTTTCTGGAATTCTATATATATATATATATCTTCAATCTATCTGAACCCCCTTGTACATTCTCGGTGCTATCACGTTTCCTTCCCTCAATATAACGTTTTCTTGAAAACCATATTCTTGAAAATGGCTTCAACCGTATCACTATTGTATCATATGTTGGTTGTCCCATTGGTATCGCCATTTCTTCTTTTATGTACTTTTTAGTTTTTATCTTTGAGATTTTGAGGGTATGCTCTGCAGTAAAAGATGCGGCATATTTTTTGTTTTGCTGTTAACAGTGCATAGCCAAACACCCTGAGACGAGGACAAAATTTCTTACGGGTAAGCTTTCTCCGTCGATTCTCAATCTATTTCCATGAGTAGTCACATCATGTTGTTTTTGTCTTGAATCTTCAACCCCTGTTCAAGAAAAAGTTTCTGCATCATATATTTTGTTAGTCCATGAGCTCAGGTGTCTAGGGGGCCTTTCCAACAAAAAGTTTGAAAAAATAGTTCAAGAAGCAGTAGAATGACGATTTTCACATCTAAGCTCTATACTTGCTCATGATTCTGGCCGAGGAAATTCTGTTAGCTGTTTCCTTTATCCTAGATTTGTGCTAAAGTGATACATGCTATAGCTTATTACCATGCTCATGTTATTCTTGTTGAGAACACGTTTGCTCCTGGATTTGGAGTAACAATCTCACTTGAACTTACAGATATGATAAACACATTATCGATCCATTAAGCTTCTCGTGTTTATGTTTTTGGGAGAATGTATGTTCCCATGCATTGCATTCAATGCTTCAATTCCCTGGGAAGACTTACGAGTTAAAATAGTCGGAACAAACCAGAAAACTTCTAACTTGTATCCGTGCAGCTATGATGCTTCACTATTTCTACCCTTTGCTGCAAACGAGGTACACAGATAGGCCCCGTGAATACCTAAGGCTCGGGGGGTTGGGTATTCTTGCTCAGCTGTTGAAAGGGGTAATGTTCTCTGTCTTTTCTTCTAAGTTTCTTATGTCTATCCTCGGGACTGTAGAAGTACCATTTGGGGGACTATGGAGCTACAGTTCTCAACCCTTTTCCTTTTTGACTGATGTAACTTTATTAATTAGTTTAAACTCCTCGTATTCTCCAGCCGGACTATGGAGCTACAGTCCATTTACTTATCCATTCTGATGCCGTCCGTTCTTGTCTTCATTGTATCGACGTTGGCGATCTTCCATCGCAGACAGTGAGTTCCTCCACCATTCTTATAGAGATTGAGAACACAGTTATGCACAAATCGTTCTGACATGGGGTTCCTGATTGCAGCTTGCGACATTTATACTTCACAAGATACTGATGACAGAGGAGGGGCTTCAGTACTGCTGTGTTTTGGCCGAGAGGTACTTTTTCATAGACAGTCTCCTTAAACAGCTGCTCCTCAAGCTGGCCACCATGAACAGGCCGCCCCCTCCCAGCTTGTTGCAGCTTGTTGCTGGTTGCTACTACAGGCTCTCAATGAAAGCCAGGTTTGCCACATTCTCTATTTGCTTGCTTCCACCAATCAACAAGGTATCTGAACGGTATGTCTGATTTCCTATGTGCAGGGCGTGCGAAGGAATAAAACAGTACATTCCCGTCTTGCTCGTGGACAACACCTTTGCTGAATTACTTGCTGTAAGCATTTGTTTAGCGTTCTAATGTAAAATAGCAATCAGAGATTGCAAGTTTCGAGCACTCAGATATGTAATCATGTAAGTAGTAACAACATATCTGTATTTGCAGGAGGATCCGCTCGCCAACGATTACAGGAACAAGCTGCTTCTGAATCTGAGAAACAAAGCGTTGTACTAAACAACCTGTGAGTTGCTGTATCATCAAACAAAAACTTATACGACAAAAGCCGAAACACAGACACAGAGGTAACGGGTTAAAAACACACAAAGGTAATAATTAATAAAACTGTAATGGGATATTTGCGGTTTCATTAACTTCTTCAGGCAAAACTGTCTTACTTTTGGACAAATGTTCTGTTGCAAGGCTTGTAATAATAATACTCCCCGGATACTATCTTGATTTGCTGTTCATATTAATATTATGAACAAAATTATGAAGATGGAAAGGTTTTGCAGAAATCTGAAATCTGATTGATTTAAATTGATTGGTAACAACAGCAAGATGTGAAACTAAAAAAAGCCTCGAAACAGTTCTCTGTCGACAAGTGGACAACGAAAATATGTGCCCTTTGAAATTTTTACCCACCCCCCAGTTGCCACACTATTACAGGTAAATAGAACTCTTCTGCTTCATTAGTTGATGGGGATAAACTTAATTCCAATGAGTCTTCTCTCTTTTTTGCTCATCTTCTTGTTGGCACTTAGGCTTGTAGACCACTCACATTCACCTCATACTTGGTCCTAGCCTATATTATTTTCTTCTCGCTGTAGAATATCTGTTTGTTTGTTATACTTGGTAGGGTTAATGTATTAGCTGTAACTACTGGATTCTTTTGCTTCCATTGACTATTTATATATGTTTAGAAGCTTAAGAAAGTAAATAAAAGTTATTACTGCTCCGTTTTGGAGTTTGGAGGCACCGAAAGCATAGTGTCGAGCATAAAAGAGAGATCATGCATTTGTGAAATGAGTTCCTCCGCAGTATTACCAATGGGGTCTCCAAGGGAAGTGATTTCCGACACTTGATCTTTACCAGTTGTATCATCACCCGTCCTCCTGAAACAAGACAGTGACAACAAAACCGGGAAAAAGGAAAATGAGACATGAAAGACTTGTTGATCTGGGTTTTAGAAGTGAGAGCCCTATCATCATTATCTTTTAGGAAAACACAGTTTCTTCCCTCCTCGGGTATCTTTATCTTTATCCAACTTCACTCCCATTGAGATTCCAGTGGTCAGACACACTACACTACACTACACTAAGATTCCAGACAAGACCACCATCGTATTCATCCGTTCCTTTCTCCGCCGAAACCTTTCCACCCTACGTGAGAACCAATCACAACGTACATCAAATTCAGAAACTAGATCCATGCAATCTAGTGATGATTCCCAAGTACTTAACCCTAGAGTTTCCTTGTAGAACTACCGTATAGATTAGCTCAAGGGTTGTGCTGTTCAATTAAAAATTTTGGCCCGGATGAGGTTGAGGAGAATACAAACCTCTCTGATGTTGAAGTTTCCTTCGGCACAACTTTGTCTTCTGCTGAGTTGTTTTGACCTTTAATTCCACCAGAAAAGAAATCAGAACTAGAGAAGCTGCCAAAATCACTGCCTTGGTGATCCTTGGCCTCCCCAAACAAATTAATTTCCGAGTTCTCTTTGGCAGAGAGCTTCACTTGATTAGAGGATTCCTGCAAAAAACGATCAAGGGTAAATTCAATCATACAAAACCATAACCAATCCAGGACATACGACACATTATATGCGAAACCCTACGCCGACAAAACCAATCATTGTCCTCACTCCACCACGACCGAATCCGACCAAAATCCTTTAATCTCATTCAAGATCAGACACTCCGAAGCATATCGAAGATTCGGATACACTAAACCGCAATGGGAGAGAAAAAAAAAAAGGCTTACGGTGCCATCTCTTTGGATCTGAATCTTCTTGAAGGCAGAATCAGCCATTGCTCATCATCTTGATCTTTGGTTTTATCTGGCACTGTGCTAGTACTAATGTTCTTCTTCTCATCTTCAGTCCAGTTCATAGTAGGGAAAAGACCATTTTCACTCTGTGCTCTTCCTACATTCTTGACATTTGACATGCCATCATCAAGTGTCTCCCCTTGGAAACTCGCCAAGGTTTGAGAAAGAGATTCATTAGGAGTCTTCGAGTTAGCCGAGCTTGCGAAATCGTTCCAGTCCTCGTCTTCGTCAGTGGGCACCTTATCGGAGGCTTTCTTATCACTAGTTTGCCATGGATCATCTCCTATCCAGTCAATATCCATGGATGAAGTTCCATTTTTCTCTACCTGTCTCTCATCCCTAATGTGGTCAGCTGAGTCGTCCTTTTGCACCTCATGATTGACATTACCAAATAAATCATCTTGAAACCAGTCACCAGTATTGGACACAGAAGCAGATGAAGAGTCTTTTGCTTTTGCATCGATTCCAGAACCAAAGATGGTGTCCATATGAGCAGACAAATCAACAGAAGAAATGACAAATGGATCGCCAAGTTGCTGTTCCTGGGAAAGATTCTGTTTAGAAGATTGAAAGTCGATATCCCAGTCGGAAGAAGCATCAACGAACTTGTCAACAACAGACTTTGCAGCTGCACTAGACGGTGGCACACCCTCAACAGAACCAAAATTTTCATCCTCTACAGAAGAACTAGTCTGCCGACCATCTTTTCCCTCAAACAGATTAAGGCTTCCATGCTCTTTAGACGAGACACTTTCCTTAACATCTGTTCCCTCAAACAAGCTAAGATTTTCATGGGCCATCGGGGAAACACTTTCCTTAGCATCTCGTCCTGCAAAGAAACTAAGATTCTCATGTTCCTCAGAAGAAATACTTTTCTGGGCATCTTTTCCCTCGAACAAACTAACATTCCCAAGCTGATACAACTCACTGGTTCCCTGATTCTTAACACTATCAGGCGAGCTAAGACTCCTAGGATCCTTAAAATCATCCTCCAGGGGTTTGCTCTCGGCCAGATTTACCTTGGAAAGATCGCCTCTTCCTTCGACAAAGAAATCATCAAGGTTAAGTCCACCTAGATTTAATGGAATCTTACTCTTCACTGATTTTCCATTACTGTTTCCACTGTTAGCAGACTGTTCCTCTTTCACGCCCCATTGTATTTCCAAATCTAGAAACTTGGACACAGCAATTATTTCTATGGGTGCATTCCTTCCTCTTCCCGATCCATTTGTCTCTTTCGGTGGCTCCACTATCTCCTGCAGATGAAACGGTCTTCAGTAAGATTGTTCTTCTTTGGCATACCGAGTTCTGCGTTTTCACTGTAAAAGTGAACTTCCTATCGATGTAAGCACCAATTTGGCTTACTCGCAATGGCAAAGAAAACTTCAATGAAAATAATTTTCTCGGCAATGGAAAATTTCTGACGAAATTTGCTCAGCAAAATAACAGAAAGAAAAAAAAAAGATAGATGTAAATGGTGTCGAGATTACCGATCCATCGAGGTTAAGAGAGCCGAGCAACCATTTGTAACCAGAAGTGGAGGTGAACTTGATGGGATCAGGAGGGTTATCGCTAGTCCGTTGTTGCTTGCCGCAAAAGACGCAGATCAGAGACTCGATCCCTCTCAGAAGCTTTCCTTTGCAGTTCCGGCAACGGAGGTACGCCGCCGAAGCGTCGAGCTCCGAAATCGCGTCGGCGGCGGATGGGAGGCTAGGCAAGGAATCGCCGCTGGGATCGTAGGACGAGAGATTGGCTTCTCTGCGGAGGGAGATCTTGAGCTGATTTATCAGATCCATCGGAATCTCCATCCCCATTTCGTCAGGAATCTAGGGTTCTAACGATAAAATCTCATTCTCGATCGGATCACAAAAACAAACATGCACACCGGAAATCTTCCAACCGAATGTATGTAAGTTTAGCCGAGCATGCCAATAAAACCGAAATCAATCGGTTATTCGTTTGGTTAAGTTCGGTTTGATTCTATTCCCGGTTTAAATTTAGTGAACCAGACTTCCGGTTGGACTCGCGAACGATGGATAACATAACTTGGATAATAAAATTACAAAGATATCTGAAGAAGCAAACATTACATCATTTTGATTTCACTGATTATTCTTCAACTAAAGCCCAATAACTAGGCCCATTTTGATTTCGACCTTGGGAACAAAAGCATTACAAAAATACTAAAATATTATCTTATATAAATAAAATCAATAACTAATTATTGTAAACGATAATAACATTTATAATATATCTTTTTGTCGGTATTGATAGTAGAATTAGTAGTTATATAATAAAAATAGACAAAATAATTAAATAGTGTAGTCACCAACAATGATGGGTGGATGAAACATTAAATGAATATTCATTAGTTTGACTATTAATTGAGGGTAATGTTTTCAAAAAAGGCTGAATATGAAATTATAACCATTTCAAGTCATGGAGTTATTCAAATATTCATCATTTTGCTTGTGAATAATTCAGCCAAACGCTTCCAATTGTCCTTTAACTTTATCATAAAAAGAAAAGTAATGCCATTTCCATTAATCGATTACTTTTGAATTTCGATTAGTTTATTCAAACTCCCTCCGGACTTAGAACAAAAACAAATATAAAAATATTCCCCGATCATATAATTCATGTAGAAATTGATTTATATCATTTTCACTTAATTTCAACTTCGGAACGAAAAATGGATTTTCTCCATGGGAAAATTATGTTTTCAAGAATCTCTAAACGGTATTAATTTTAAAACAAATATATTAAATTTTGTATTTTATTTATGTGATATATCATGGATAATTTCTCACCATTAAAAAAACTTATAAAATAAAACAGAATGAGATAATAACACTCGATTATATTATATTTTCTGAAAATTTCAAAGTTGTATTTTTGTCAATTGCTTGCAGCCAGAGGTTGGTTCACTTTCTACTCATTTTTTTCCTTTCACATTTATGTGAATAACCTATTTATTGCTGTTGAATATTTATATATGTTTTTTTCACAGTGTGGTATTTTCTTTAATGGAATTAAATTGTTACATCTACAATAATCAATACTCACCTTTAAACCCTCCAGTTTTAGGTGGGGGTGGTGGGGTCACAGCAATATTTCTTATTCTCCTCTTCGAGTCTTCGAGGGGTGGGCCGACCCCCCAATTTTTAGAAAACCTTGTCTCGTCTTCATTATCACGGGTTTTACAAAAATATTATCTCAGTTTTAGCTTCATAAAATTCGGGTACTTATAGCTCGGGTTTAATGAGATTCTCGGTCTTGTACTCACGGGTACCCAGATCCATACGATTTATAAAATTTTGAATTATAAAATGATAGATATAGAAAATACAAATGAGAGATGTCAAAGTATAAAGAGAAAAATTCACGATGAAGAGAGATGAGTAAAATTTTGAGAGAGAGATGAATGGTTGATTCGGTTACATAGAATGAGATTTGAAATGATGAAATTTTTGTATAGAAAGGTTTAGAACATAAAAAGATTGAACTAAAATAAAAGTATTTTAATAAATAATAAGAATAATTTAGACAAAAATATTATAGATATAAAGTATATTTTAGATTTTTAACAAATATACCGGATACCCCCGGTACCCTTTGTAAAATAATTAAACTCCCACTCGGACTCGGGGGTCGAAAACTTAGTCTTATTAATATTCGATCTCATCATCGTTAATATTCGGGTACCCTTTATTCGGGTACTTGTTAAGCCGGGTACCTCCAAACCCCCGGATTACGCGTTAAAACGCCCACCCCTATCCTCTTCACTAAAATTCTACAAAATTAAAATAATATATAAAATCTATAAAACCCTTAATGATTATCAGTTTGATTATGGATTGAAATATCTGCCCGTTTTAAAAAAACAAATTAATTATTTTTCCAAAGTAAATTATCAATGCTTCGATATTATTTTTAAATCATATTTATTTATAATTTAATTCAATAAAATCGTCAAAAAAAAGGATACATTCGTGTATTATATTATATGATCCATTTACCTAAAAATTTACCATATTGTTCAATATAATTTTTTTTAGTGAACTTGTAATGATCTAAGAAGAGATTATGGTTGATATATAGATTAAGAATACATATGCCTAATTAATTACTCATAGGGTATGGATGGATATTTTCATATAAATAGAAAAAATAAATTGGCACATCAAACGTGTCAAGTAGAAAGTTAAGACGAGAAAATGAACAATATTTATGGAGTGGACCAACCATGTCCAAAGGCACACACGAAAACACATAAACCTCTATATACACAAACATATATATATGTATATGTGTGTACGCTCACAACATAAATATGGAAGTTTGTGCATCAACTAAATACTTCTATATACATATCCATCTCAAAGGTATTCTTTCTTCCTCGCATATTTAAAAACAAAATAGTAAAATTTAGGGCAAAGAGAGAGAGAGAGAGAGAGAGAGAGAGGGGATGAAACATATTCGTCGTCTCTGTATCGGCGTTCTTCTCTTGGTGGTTTTGGCTTCATCTAAAGCTCGAAACTTCCATGCAGCCGCTGGGGGAAGACGAAGCTTCACCTCAGGACCCTCTCAAAGAGAGAGAGGGTTTATTCCATCCGAAGGGACACGTGTCACCGGCGCCGGAAGATTCCTGCCGGTAAAACGAAAAATCCCGACGGGATCAAACCCTCTACACAACAAGCGATGATCTCTCTCTCTCTCTCTCTTTCCCGCTGGTATTAGATAATTACTTCCCCTCCTCTTTTCTGTTTTTTATTTATTTTTCCCCAAAAAATTTTGTAGCATATACGAGCGCACGTGTGTGTATATATATATAAGACCTATATACACTGCGTTTGCAGGATTGGATGTAATGATTCGAACTACAGTTTGAGTTTGGCTTATATATGTGTAGTTTTCAAAGATTAGATTGATCGAAGGTGACAATAATAGAGTTATGTTTATATATATGTATGTATATGTGTGTATTTGTACGTAAACAAATAGTAGAAGAGTTGTATGTCTGCGGGGTTTAGCATTATTCTAGCTATTCACCGACGTTCATAGACAATTATGTCAATGATATAAGGCTTTTATTTATTAAGGATTATATATAATCACTATATGATGCTTTTATTAGCACCAATTAGATAAATATTTAATTTTTTTTTGTTGATACGTCGTGATTAGGTATTGTTGAACTTGAAGAAATGTCTACAAACTTGAAAAAATTAATGGGTTTTATAGTTTTCACATTTTCAACGATTGCGCGTGTTTGCTTGTGCTTATTAGTTGTTAAATGAGTTGTTTGGTACTTAATTAATATCGAATATTAAGAGAAGAGAAAAAAAATTTGAGATAATTTCTTTTTATACAGCAAGTGTTTACAAGCAAACCGGAGGAGGGCAAACCAGTTATAACGAATGGATACGAAGTTACTAACCGTACATTCATATATTAAAAAGCATAATGAAGATATTGGAAATTATTTTAAATCTGGCAAACCGGGGTTTCCTTCTCGTCTAAATAAAAATGATTTCTAAATAAAGCGAAAAGAATAATTAAACCAGAAAAAAACGAGAAACAAATTTGGCAAAGAGAAAAGATTTGACATTAAAGTATGCATATACATATATATATATATATATATGTATGTATGTATATGGTCCCATGTTGAACACAACACGAAGAGAAGATGAGAAACAGAGATTGCCGACCAAAACGTGAATCCCAACAATTCTTCACGCACTGCTTAAAATAGCAGACGGGGCTCTGTTATTATTAATTATCGGAATCTCTTGGGCAAAGAAACAGGCAAGGGAAGTTGAAATGAACTCTTCTTCATCATCAGGGAGAGATTAATTAGCAAACAAGAGGCGCACAGGTCGGGATTGGGATCTCAGTGCTTTTCTTCAAGTGCTGATGCTCCTGATATAATCTCGATGAGCTCGGTTGTGATAGACGCCTGACGAGTCCTGTTTCACCCCCCATGCCCAGAATTTATCACATCCATCACCAATGGCTACTGCATATGCATATATATATATATATATATAGAGAGAGAGAGAGACCTGTTGTAAGTGAGGGTGAGACGGTCAAGCATATCTCCAGCGTTTCTGCTGGAGCTGTCCATGGCAGACATCCTGGCTCCCATCTCACTGCATGCATTCTCCAGCACCGCGTTGAACATTACCTGTTTCCCACAATACATCAAGATCACGTTTCTTTCAAGGATAACTGCTTCATTCTTTAATTATTTAGCAAAGGGTGGAACATAATCAAGCGATGCGTCTGTATCCAGAGGTGGACTGAAAATATTGAAAAAGAAGAAAGTGGCTCAAAGTGATACTTACACATGAGAACTGGAACTCGGCCAAATTTTGCAGTATCTCGCCCTTTGTTTCACCACCTTCGATCTCATATGAATCGAGCTCCCCAAGCTTTCCCCCGGATTCAGCCTCCCTCTCAACCATCTACATAAGCAAAACACAAGTATAAAGGTTTCTACAGGTGGTCGAGACACGGTAAAGAATGAACTGTGATCCCGAAAAGTAAGGAAGTTATCAGTACCTCGGGAGACAAAATAGTGGACACGGTTGGTAGGAACGACATCACTGAGTGGAACTTGTTGAAGACAATACGTAAAGCATCAAACTCCACGTTCTTCAGGATCTCGTCAGCCAGGACAGAAACCTGAAGTAGCAAACATTTCAGAAGCAAATATAGGAAGCAAGAGAAACATGACGCCCATGAATATTCATTATTACGACCTACCTGGGTGTAGTTCAGTGGATTCTTCTGCACATCTGTTATGGAAAGCTCAATGTGCTGCTTGGAGTCACGTATCAATTGAGCTTTTGCTTTCTCTCCCACAATGACATATTTCGCTTCTTTCTCAGGACCTGCGACCATGTACGGATGGGGAGATGCGTTAAGAAGGATAATAGAGGAGAATTAATACGGGAGACACATTGATATTGATTCACAACTTACCAGAAGACAACTTATTAAGACCCTTGCTCACTTTAACAGAAGTGGAGTTAATCCCACCACAGAGACCCTTGTCAGAAGAGATAGTGACGATCACACTCTTCTTTACATCAACGCCTGGTTTTGCAGCCCAATAAATTAATAACAGCAATCAAGAAGACATGCAGAAGAATAAGAGAAATAGACCAAAAGGGCAAATTCGTTACAAACTACAAAGTAGTTGATCGGAACCACAAAAAAAAATGCAAGCCATTAGATGATTAACTATGCTTGCAGAAAATGATATATAGATTTTATTGGCCAACATACTGGGAGTATCTCCAAGAAGTGCGGTAAATGGCTGCCAAAGCCCACGGGAATTCACAGCTCTACTTTCAACAGCTCTCAACTTTGAAGCAGCAACCATCTTCATTGCCTTTGTGATTTTCTGGATGTTCTTCACACTCTTCATACGGTTCCGCACTGCATACAGAATGCATTGCAATTCAACGAGATTATAATACCCAAGATTCTCTGGAACAAACAAGATACTAAAAAAGATAAATTTTTCTCCAATTATCAAATGAAAGTTACCCGCTTGGGTAGAGGCAAAGCGAACTCCCAGAGGCGCATCATTCCTACAGACAAAAAGCATATTATCTACCCATTTTCAAAGGCCAAGCAACGACGGGGGTGGAGGTACTTCCCTTAAACCAGCGTGGGAAAACGCACAAAAGCCTTAGACAGGAAAGTAAAACATCAAACGACGGAGAAAGATGAACCATAGTCCGGATACCGATATCACAAATATTTCTGCTCCTGTTGAAGCATAATTCACCCATTTCGCGCCGGCCAATATAGAGTCTAAAGAAATGAGCTTTACCACCAAGTGAAAAAAATGCCCAATATTTCTGAATTCTCAATCCGAAAGACAAATGCGAAAAATGCCACTTGATCCCACTTCCCAAATCAGAGAAACCAAATTTGATCTATGGACGCCGAAAACAAGCGCTAACCCTAACGATCGTTCACCGAAATAGGCCCGCGGCAACGAACGAATCGGAAACACACACCAGATTCCAAATTAAAATCATGAACTCAATGATCCGAACACACGCAGGGAAGATCGTATGAGTATTTCTGGAGGGACAGAGATCTCACTCAGGAGACGAGATTGGAGCGGTGGATCGGACGGCGGCGATTGGGCGAGGAGACACCGAAGTGAGGACACGCCTCCCTTCGCGACGGAAAACAGCCATAGCCATTGTTGACGGGGTTGGTGAGCAAAACCTAGTTCTGGGGCGACCTTCGGAGATCGATTTCTCCTTTTGAGTTTATGGGATTCGAAGAGGTGACTACCTCGGCGAGCAAGGGCTTAATTGGTGATGATCCTTCAAAACGGTGTCGTTCCCGCGAAATTGACTATGTTAATTATAAAAAAGGTTAATCTAAAGTTTAGGGATTATAACCTGAGCCCGTAAAATTAAAATATTGGACACATATAAATTGAAATGTTGGGCTTAAGGCTCATATATAAAAATTCTCGGCCCCCTGGTTGGTGGAACATTTTTTTTTATTAGACGCAATTAAGGATTTGTGGTTAAAGATAAACATAATAATAACTATGTATATAAATTCAATTAAATTCTTTAAATTTGGGTACCTTTTATTTGATTTTTATATACATAATAAGTTATTATTAATAGACAATAGAAACACTAGGAAATCCATGATTAAAAAAAATAATACTAATTAAAAAATGTTAAAAAGCATATCCAATAGTTTAAATGGGCCTTGTACAGGCCCATTAGTATGAAGCCCAATTACATGATTTTTTTTTAAGTATTAAATTAGTGCTTAAACCTTTCTCCGTTGAGAAGAGGGCTTCTTGGTTTCCAGGGGACAAGCAGGAAGAAGCAACAGGTATGGAACAGTTTACACACTCGCTCCTTTTAATTGAGAAGAAAATGCGAGAGAAATTCCTCGAACGCTTATCATCTCCTTCGATAATCCTCCGTACCATGTTCCGTCGTTGCGTCGCAAGTGTATTTACTCTCGATTGATTTCTGATCGATGTTCGATTCTGATTTTTTGCTCAGATTCTGCGGCGAGGCAGAAGATGAACAACGCGCGGAAGAGATTGAACGGAGAAACGGAAGAGGAAGACGAAGAGGATGCGGAAGGAGAAGGGATCGGGGCGTGGGAGAGAGCGTACGTGGACGAGAGATCCTGGGAACTGTTGCAAGAGGATGAATCTGGACTTCTACGACCCATCGACAACACTGCGATCTACCATGCTCAGTACCGTCGCCGCCTCCGCCTGCTTTCCTCCGCCGCCGCCGGAACGCGCATCCAAAAGGGCCTTATTCGCTATCTCTACGTCGTCATTGATTTCTCTCGGGTAAAATTTTTGTTGCTTTTTGTGGCTTCAGATCCGTGGAGAATGTTTTGCTGATAAGTGAGGTTGTCTGAATGTTGTTCTTATGGGAAAGTTCTGAACTTTTGGGCAAATTAAGATTAGATTTTGTGTTGTGAAGAAGGGTGTATTGCTTAACTTGACTTCAGGGCAATAGAAAACTATGGTCTATGGACTTCAAAACCGATTTATTCTAAATGGGTTTTGGTTTGTTCATCGAACCGGTGGATAACATGAGCAATTTCTGCGATGTTAGAGCACATGAACAGCTAAAAGTTGTTTCCTTTGCTGTTTAAGTGGATCTTAGGGTTGACTGTTAGACGAATTCATATAAGAAATGGTTGCAATAAACCAAAAGCTGATGAGTTGTTGATCTGTATCACGGATTCGAATTGTCTTCTTTTTCTCAGATTCAGACTATGCAATGCATTCAATTAGGTTGCTCTGTTGTGTCTAGGCAGCTGCAGAGATGGACTTTCGGCCAAGTCGAATGGCTATAATGGCAAAGCATGTTGAAGCTTTCATCAGAGAGTTCTTTGACCAAAATCCTCTGAGCCAAATCGGTTTGGTTACTATAAAAGATGGAATGGCTCATAACTTGACAGACCTCGGTGGCAGTCCTGAATCCCACATTAAAGCATTACTGGGAAAGCTGGAATCCTCAGGCGACTCCTCTTTGCAGAATGCCTTGGAACTTGTACATGAGCATCTAAATCAGATCCCATCGTATGGGCATCGTGAAGTTCTGATATTATATTCAGCTCTGAGTACTTGTGATCCGGGAGACATTATGGAGACTATTCAGAAATGCAAGAAATCGAAGATAAGATGTTCAGTAATTGGTCTTTCTGCGGAAATGTTCATATGCAAGCACCTCTGCCAAGAGACGGGCGGCTTGTATTCTGTTGCGGTAGATGAGGTTAAGTTCAGCTGCCTTCTCTCTCCACTTGTGCCTTGAAATAGAAGTCCTTTATAACGGCGTGATTGATTTGATTTTCTTGATTTCTTCGTCTCAGCTACACCTGAAAGATCTTCTACTTGAACACGCTCCCCCTCCTCCAGCATTGGCAGAATTCGCGATTGCAAATTTGATCAAGATGGGTTTCCCGCAAAGAGCTGCAGAGGGTTCGATTGCGATATGTTCATGTCATAGGGAAGTTAAGATAGGTGCTGGTTACACGTGTCCCAGATGCAAAGCTCGTGTATGTGAGCTGCCTACAGAATGTAGCATTTGCGGGTTGACACTTGTTTCTTCGCCTCATTTGGCGAGATCATACCATCATCTCTTCCCTATAGCTCCATTTAACGAGGTGCCTCCATCTAGTCTGAACAATCCACGCGAAAAGCTTCCAAAGAGTTGTTTCGGTTGTCAGCTGAGCCTCCTTGTTACAGGTAACTAGTCTTCTCATATTCCTATCTCAAGCTCTTTTCATATCAAACCGATTCAATATGCTTTGATGATGATGTGCAATGTTACCAGTGAGGAATATACACTTGACTTGCATATGTGAAACATGGACGCATATTTCTAACCGAACCGCCCACAAAAGAGTGTCTTTTTGTAACTGTTTCTTCGCGCAGGGAACAAACCCGGGCCATGTGTAACATGTCCCAAATGCAGGCACTATTTCTGTCTCGACTGTGACATATACATCCACGAGAGCTTGCACAACTGTCCCGGTTGCGAGAGCATCCGACACCCTAAACCCGTTGTCATGATGGAAGAATGAATGAATGAGACAAAACTCGTGAGCGGGCAGAGGGCTTTACAAGAAACAGCATAAGCCCAGTTTATATTTTTGTCCGAGTGATCTACTGAAGCCGTCCAGTCAAGGTCAGTCCATGAGAGAGAGAGAGAGAGTTCACTTGGAGACCAGTCACATTGGGTTTTAGCTTTAGGTGAACATTGTATCTGTACTTGTCTTGGAATTGATTTATATAATTTGAATACAAAACAAAGAAACCAATTGCTGAATCTCATATCTTACATGTTGCAAATTACCTTTTGTATGATATATTTGATAATTAAAATAATTTAAAAGTTTACACCAATCATAAAATCCAACAGGCTGGGCACCCCTTTTCATTTCCAGCCTCAACGGAGAAAAACCCATATATATATATATATATATATGCGGATAAGGACAAAAACTACGTTCTCTTCCTATAATTTATACGCTTCATCTCTTGTAAGCGGCAATCAAACTCATATCCAGACTCTCTTCTTCGAGTTGTTGCTCCTCCAACTCTAGGAACCTAGCAAACACACCGACCAAAGGTGCAGTGTTGTACGTGCAAGCCTCGGTCTGCATGTAATTATCGCGTCGGTCCACGAAATTATCCGTATGGTCCGGTCCTCCGACCAAAGCCCCCACTAAAACATTCGGATTCGGCTCTGGTCGTCCGTACCAATGATCATACCCTTGTGTGCACCCGATGAACCCTTTGTTCTCTTTGTACGAGACAATTGACGCTCCTCTATGATGAACCCTAGTCGGATATTTCGGACCGTACCCCACTAGATAACTCATGTTCATCGGATTCGATCCCAACATGTAATCCACTTGAGATTTCGCCAATCCGAGCATTTCATCCGGGCCAACTGTTCCCCCGGGACATTCGAGATTTCGATTCGATTTTCTTAGGTGGTCGGAATATACGGTTAGGAGAAAGGAAGCGGTGGAAACGTATTGCAAGTTGTTCCACTGCCGAACGTAGAGTAAGCCTCCGGGAGTCCGTACGACGTTGGAGCCGTTGACGTTCTTGTTGAGACATGAACACAGGTAGTGTTCGGCCTTTGCTTTGTAAAGTTGCATGGTTTGGAAGTGCTGCTTATGTTTCTCCTCGCTGAGGATCTGAAAAAACGAGGCAATGCGAACAATAAGAAAAAGTTAGGGGTCACATTGAAATAATTTCAAAATTAAGTACTGCAATTAGCATTTCAGGTAATCAACATCTAATCTAGTGCTTTGAATACTCTTAAAATGCTCGCTTGTGAATGAATGATCACATTATATATATATATGGGTCCGAATTGAAAGATTCGAACTTTCATGAGTCACGTGCCATAGACAGAACCATTTAAGGGACGTCATCGTCCGAAGGAACAAAATCACGTGATTTTTAGTCCAAAGGAACACCCAACTTTGATGAACCTTTATTTTCCTTGTTGCGTAAGCATATGGTACTATGAAGAAAATGAATTAATATTCTTAAAAAAAATAAACACAAACTGTATAAGGTTATGTTTAGCTAATTCGTCATTAAAATCCCTTCGTCGAAGTGATTATTCGAGATAAAAAAAAATTACTATATAGAATCAATGAGTCTGAATAACTGTAATTAAAGCTTGCAGTTTTACCAATAATATAATTCTTGTAATAAAATTTGCTATTTTGTTTTTTTTTATTTTAATTTTTAAAAAGATCAAAAAGTAAAAAACCTACAAAGAGACCTAAGTAGGAAAAAAGAAATACCAAGTCGCAGCTTTTACTTTGGGCATCAATAAATAGAAGTCCCCACACATACAGATAACCAAATTAAAACTATCCCTAGCCTACCATGTGATTCATGTCCAACCACACATCACTTGCCGCATATATAACACGTATATATATTTGTACGAATATATGTCGGTAGTGTATGTATATACATACGTGCATGCGTATGGTACACGTGTGAATGTACGTACCATGGAGGAGAGGAGTTGGAGACCGGCGAACTTGACGTCCCAGCTGAATTCGGACATGGACCAGGATACGCCTCCCAGGTGGTGGGCCATGTCGATGACGTAATCCAAGTAGTTTTGTTTGTCGGTGGCTCTGTAAAGCCACGTGGCACCCCACAAGAGCTCGTCCATGTACCCGCTCACCGACGCGTAGTAGCTCTTCACCACTCTTAGGCTCTCGTCGTATTTCCCTCTGTACTTGTCCGCAAACTCGAACAGCTACAAAAATATTATATATATATATATAAATATATTTGAATAAAAATTACATAATCTCTAAGATTCCTAGTACAAATCACACGATTTAATTAAAATAAATTAGAGATTGGTTATAATGAGATGGATTAGGTGTACCTGTTGGGCGTGGTGCAAGAGAAGGTGAGAGTAGTGTGGGTTAGTTCGCCGGAAAACTATGGACGCGGCGGCCATGGCGGGGGGC